CTTACTCTTCTTATAATATTTAATATTTTATATAAATTTCCGGAAATTATTTTATATTATTTATTTTAAACGAGTCGTATCTGCTTTTTACTAATTTCTATGATTTTGTATTTTAATTATGTTTCTGAAGCTATTTTATGTTTTTTATTTTTAATAATTCGTATGTTATTTTATCGAGTCATGATCGGCATTATACGTAAGTTTAAAGAATTTCTGAAATACAGATAATTTGCAGTAACTGTAGTGTCTTAAATTAATTTATTAACTGAAAAATTAAGTAATGATTAACAAGATATTTAGTACTTTTAGCCAAAGCTGTATGTAGCACAAATTGTTTTACGATATTAAGAAAATTTGCATGTGTTTTATATAAAGAACTTATATAGAATATATTCTATCAACATTTATTTAAATATGAATCATTAAAAGGAATAATAAAAATTGAGACATAATGTTGGAATATCAAAAATACCCCACACGCGAATAATTATTAAGTACGTTTAAAAGAACCATGCAAGTAATATATATTATACTGGATCTTTTAAACGTAATTAATAATTATTCGCATGTGGGGTATTTTTGATATTTCAACATTATGTCTCAATTTTTATTATTCCGTTTAGTGATTCATATTTAAATAAATGTTGATAGAATATATTCTATATATATTCTTTATATAAAAACACATGTAAATTTCCTTAATATCGTGAAATAATTTGTGCTGCATACGGCTTTGCCTAAATGTACTAAATATCTTGTTAATCGTTATTTAATTTTTCAGTTAATAAATTAATTTAAGACCCTACTATTACTGCAAATTATTCTGCGTTTCTGAAATTCTTTAAACTTATATGTATAATGGCTCGATAAAATATATAACATGTAAATTATTTAAAATAAAAAATATAAAATATGTTCCGGAAATTTATTAAAAATATTAAATAAGAAATAAGTCAGAAAAGTAGGTATTTAAAATAACAAATATACTAAATAACTTTTTTAATTTTTTTTATTTAAAATATATACTTTAATTTTCAGAGCTTTTACAAGTATATAAAAATTATTAAACAATTTTGACATATATTTTGACATCTTTAGAAAGTATTTGTAAAGTTGTACATTTATAACAAATTGTATATAAATTGTTACAGCTAAATATAGTTAACAAAATGAGAAAAATGTACTTTTTTACACAAAAATGTAAAACTCTAAAACAAAAATATTTTAAGAAAAAATATGTTTCAATATCTTAAAATCGACATTCTAAAAAATCGACATACAAAAGGAAAAATCATTCAAGTGTTGGCTGTTCAAAAAATTTAATTATTTAGTATCTCGAAAATTATATTTTTTTAATAAGCACGAAGAAACTATGTCAAAGGTTGGACAATATATTACATTAAATAAATTATTAGAAGTTATGCCTCTTTTACATGATATTTGTCGAAACTTTCTAGTTTCTTCGTTTAAAGATGAAAAAAGTGGCGTCAACTGGATAAGTTTTTTAAAATCGTAAAATAGATAAAGTCAGTGGTCAATAAGAGTCTCGAGGTACATCTATGTATAAATATAAATAAAATTAAATTGAAAAAAAGTATTGTACCGAAAAAACGGAGTCAATGTTTAAAAATGCATATTATACGTAACAACATATATCTGCTTTCAATTTCCATCATTTATCGACAAACTTTTGCTCTGACAAGAAGCCCTCTCACCGTTTTGGATATATCTTTCTACAAATTCTGTCTATTGAATCTATATCTTGAAAAATTAAATAAGTTTTTAAACATTGACTCCGTTTTTTATTACTGCAATAATTGCAATTGTTTAAAATGCAAATGCAATATATCTTCAATTTATAGCTATTTATGCTTATTAAAAAACATAATTTTCGGGATACTAATTAATTAAATTTTTTGGACAACCAACACTTGTACGATTTTTTCTTTTGTCGAGAGAGTAATCACTAGCTGAAATATTGTCCCACAGATTACATGACATCATATGATTTCATCTGATTACAAAAATAATTTTTTTCACTACATATCTAAATCATTTGGTAAAATATACGAATATTATACAATGATTTATCGTGGTTGCGTATGTAATTATCGGATTATACATAGAGATTTCATATGAATTTTATAATGATTTCGAGGACTCTGTCCCACGATTACATTAAGTGGTTACCCCCTCGGATGTACATATATATTATATTCATTTTACCGAAAATGACTTAAAATTCTACATCTGAATATACAAGGTATGACAATAAAATTCGCGGGCTTATTTTATTGTGGATGCTACGGCAACACTGGGAGGTTGGCAACAGCGACGCTGTGTTTGTTTACTTTTCACGCAGCTTCAAATTATTTTCAGTTCCTTCGATAACATCGCGTTGAGTGTAGCTCTGTTTTTATACACGTGTGTTTTGCTATTGTGACGATGGAAAGTAATCGTGATTTTGATGAGCAGCGAGTTGTGATGAAATTCCTTGTGCAAGCTGGGAAAACGAAATCGGAAATTTTTGAAATGATAAACCCTGTTTACGGAGACCGTCTTGTGAAAAGAAGTTTATTTTTCAAGTGGGTGGCGAGGTTTAGAGAGAGGAGACGATGAACGTTCGGGGCGCCCTTCTACCGCTCTCAATGACTTTTCTGCACAGAAAATTGAACAAGCCATCAACTCAGATCGTTTGCGTAAAACAGTTCGCAGAAAGTGACCCGATATATGGTAAGATCAGTCGTGGGTGCTTCACTACACAATGCACTCGCTCACATGTACCTCTATCATTAGGCGAATTTTGGCGATGGTATGGTACATGTACCAAGGTTATTATTGGTAGAGACGGAGCTTATTGTGAATAACCTATATCCTGGTTCTTCGCTAGTTATGCCCTAGTTAATCGGTACCCTGCTTTATTGCTAGGTACAGCGTGGTATCAACCATGTACCAAAACGACTAGCCCCACCTCTACCACTAATGATTAAACACACAAAAACGTTCTGGTACAGTTTGATACACTTTGGTTGCTATACCAAAAGCACGCCAAAATTCGCCTATCGTCAAGCACTTTTAGCCAAAACGTCCACCACGGTCCTTGACTCCCCCCCCCCCAATTTTTTACTTCCAAAAATTAAAGGAGAGGCCTTCACTTACGCACGGTACATTTGCACACGTTGCAATTGCGCACGTTTCAGACGGACACGCAATATTGCGCACGGTTTATTTACACGCCGTTCATTTGCACACTGTTCAATTGAACACGAGAATTATATATACTTGTATTTAAAATAATCTATATAGACAGTGGGGTATGTAGACAGTAGTATATTGTACGGCTACGCCGTCCCGAACAAAAGGAAATACCATATCCTACCCGCTTGGGGCCTAACAGCTGAGAAATTGCAATGTAGGTAGCTCCGTGTGCAAATGAACGGTGTGCAAAAGAACAGTGTGCAATTGAACGGTGTGCAAAAGAACGATGTGCAAATGAACCGTGCGCATTATTGCGTGTCCATCTGAAACGTGCGCAATTGCAACGTGTGCAAATGTACCGTGTGCAAGTGCGCCACTCCCATCAGGAGCAATTTCACGAGTGCTTCGAAGGCTGGAAACGACGAATGGAGAAGTGCATTACAGCTCAGGGGGAGTACTTTGAAGAGTGCAATGTGTAATATTATTTTTTTGAATAAAATGATTTTTATAGCATTTGTTCGCGAACTTTATTGTCATACCTCGTATTCATTAAGTGTCCATATAATTTTTGACACGAAGTCGAACTGAATTGGTGATCCCATAATTAATTCATCTTCTTCGAAGCTACTTTCGTTCAAAAGTTATTGACAATTTAGTGCGTTTGTCCATAGCGTCTGTTAATACTGCCAGTCTACTGTAATGACGTTCCGAAATACGTTACAGTATTACTGGCCGTACTACAATAATTTTGGAATGACTGTGGCAGTGCACTATTGTGATATCATGATGGTTGCACTGCAACCAAGTAAAAAGGGAATACACCCAAAGTACTACAATGGCTTTTCCAGTTTACGTCAATATGGCGGAACTGCACTATATGCATAATTCACACAATGTTTTGCACTCAATGTTATGTACTCAGTACTGCGTATTTTGCGGATAGCTCGCTTACTCGCTTGTTTGAAACTTTGGGAAGTTGATCTTTAGAGAGATGATCAAGAGTATCATCAGAGAGTATTATCGTGAAACTCGTACTTATTTTCGCGCCTCTATAACCTGTGCATAAATTTTTCTGCACTAACACTTCAACAATAAATAAACCTGTATTAGACTAAAAAATTCAAAAATTAGGCATTTGTACAGTATTTCTTTTGGTTCATAAATAAATTATTTATAATTAAAAAGTTGGTTTACATATTTTACGGCTTTATTTTCCCAATAAAATACGTTTATACAAATACATAAGTTTAAAAATGACCGCGTTTTACATCAAGATGAAGGCAAATTTGCGGTACTTTATAAATCTAGTGACTTTATTATAGATGTGGACTTGCTATACAATAACTAGACTTTTCAGCTTTTAGATATAATAAGGATTTTATTCAGGGATTTTCAACAAGATATACTCTGCGCGAATTACAGACATAGATAGTTTTAAGAATCCTTATAATATCATCATGTTCTTATCACTTAAATTGTTTACAGAAAAAAATAAACACTTTTACTTCAAAAGCCAATTTTATTGAAAATTATTTAAATTTTTTGTTACTATGATCACTTTCTACGTTTCGATTTTTTGATGACCTCGTTCCCTATGAAGCGATTTTTTCGGAAAATGGACTGTTATTCTAACCTCAAACCGTCTTTTAATTTAAATTCTTTTATTATCTTCTGTTATAATAAAAAATACATCAAAATTTTATTTTCTTACGGATTCTTCTATTATATAGTAATTATCTTTTTTCATAAAATATTTAAAATAAATTTTCTGATTTTTCACAATTTCGAAAATATTAGTCCATAAGGAACCCAGCCACAAAAAAATAATATAAAATACTTTTTCTTTATACAAGTAACGGCATATTTATTGAAGGTGGCATAGCATGCATACCTCCATCCACAGATAATGTCACTCCTGTTATGAAACTAGCATCGTCACTGGCTAAAAATGCAATGGTTTTTGCGATTTCTAAAGCATCGCCGTTTCTTCCTAAAGCATGCAGTTCTTTTAATTGCTCGAAAAAGATTTTCCTCTGTTCTTGGCTCATTCCACAGTTCCGAAAGAGATTTGTTTGTACAGCGCCAGGATTTACGGAATTCACACGCACCTATCGTATTTAAAAAAAATAACTTATGACGTGCAAAATAATATTTGTAATGCTATTGTTGAAAAAAAAAAACAGCCATTATCCTTACCTGTCGTGATCCCAGTTCTAAAGCAACGCAACGCGTAAATTGATCCAGAGCCGCCTTACTCATGCAATATGCCAAATTATTCCTCGTTGGTCGTAATCCATATACGCTTGAAACATTTACAATGTTGCCTTTCGTTTTGATTAACTGTGGCACTGCCAACGCAGTCAATTGGAATACTGACCGAACGTTTACGTTGAAAATGCTGAACATATTTACAACAAAAATACGTTTTTGTCAAAGCAACAATAGAAAACGACTAAAACGAGCAAGAAAGTTAGATTATAATATAATATATATATTTGAGATACAAAATCACTCAATTCTCATACATAATACGTTTCGACTACACAGAGTCTTCTTCAGTTAACAAATAATTAAATAATTAACGTAATAATCTCATCGCAAATTAAAAACTGAACTCAAATCATAATTATATCATAATCGGCTGTTATCCCACCATGTGCATAAGATTATCGCCATGATGTTATACGATATAACTAAATCCTCGTTCAAGGGTGAGAATCCCGTTAAGTCAAAGAGAAAAGTCAAATGGTAAAAGAAAAGAACGAAATTCATTAAAATAATGAAAGAATTGTGACAAAAAAAGAAATTAAATGTAACAAGTAGTCAAATTACCTTATATTTATGGTGCCGATAAATTAGCATAAGCTGTCAGGACCCTCATAATAGAAATTAGTGAAATTATACAACTTACAAGAAGAGGCTACACTTTGCTCTTCATCGATTTTGATCAAACTTGCAGCAATGTTAGAAGAGTCTATCAAATGAACACCTGTAAAGCCGTTCCTGCTAATGAGGCTTAGAAGCCGAGTATTCAAAAATATATCAAAAAATCTTAAAACAGTCTAATATCTCGGAAAGTATGCATTTTTTAGAAAAATGTCTTAGATAAAAATGGTAGGGTTTAATAAGATATATTTACTGGCTTTATTGGTTTGACCTTGGGAGGCATCGTCAACCTTGATTTCACCTTAGCAATGTCACCCAAAAATCAAACCAATAAAACCAGTAAATACATCTTATTAAACCCTACCATTTTTATCTAAGACATTTTTTTCAAAAATGCATACTTTCCGAGATATTAGACTGTTTTCAGATTTTTTGCTATATTTTTAAATGCTCATTACTCGGCTTTTAAGCCCCATTAGCGGGAACGGCTTTACAGGTGTTCATTTGGTAGGATCTTCTAACATTGCTGCAAGTTTGCTTCAAAATCGGTGAAGAGCAGAGCGTAGCCTCTTCTTGTGAGTTGTATAATTTCACTAATTTCTATTATGAGGGTCTCTCCTGACAGCTTATGTTAATTTATCGGCACCATGAATATAAGGTAATTTGACTACTTGTTACATTTAATTTCTTTTTTTGTCACAATTCTTTCATAATTTTAATGAATTTTGTTCTCAGACTTTTCTTTTACCATTTGACTTTTCTCTTTGTACTTAACGGGATTCTCGCCCTTGAACGAGGATTTAGTTATATCGTATAACATCATGACGATAATCTTATGCACATGATGGGATAACAGCCGATTATGATATAATTATGATTTAAGTTCAGTTTTTAATTTGCGGTGAGATTATTACGTTAATTATCTAGTTATTTGCTAACTGAAGAAGACTCTGTGTAGCCGAAACGTATTATGTATGAGAATTGAGTGAGTGAGATTATTACGTTAATTATTTAGTTATTTGCTAACTGAAGAAGACTCTGTGTAGCCGAAACGTATTATGTATGAGAATTGAGTGATTTTGTATCTCAAATATATTCTATTATAATCTAACTTTTTTGGTCGTTTTCTATTGTTGCTTTGTCAAATTATCGAGCGTTTTATGTTATATTAGTATGTTTTCAAAATAAACACAATTCATCAATATCCATACATGTTTATACATACTATCAACTTATCAATACATACTTGTCATACTGTTCCAAGCTTGCAGTCTCTATAGTACCTAATTCAAAAATTCCAGCGTTATTAACTAAAACATCTAATTTCCCATAATGCTTGATTGTCGAGTCGATAATATTTTTCACGTCGTTCTCATTGGCTAGATCTCCCACTACGACAAACGGCTTGGGTTGTCCACATTGTTCAGCTACCTTGTTTAAATTCTGCTTATTACGCCCTGTTATCGACAACGATGCACCAAGCTGAGCTAAATGAATAGCTGTTTCAGCTCCAATTCCTGAACTGGCCCCTGTTATCAGGATAACTTTTTTCGAGAGAGACATCTAAAATAAACAACGTTATTTGCACTGAGTACATCTAGTAGCACAACCGATCACATTAAATTGCTATATACCCAGTAATATAAAATTTATTATATTATGATGTTATTTATACAACGATATTCAATAATGTAACACGTTTTCAAATATGTTGAATACATTATTTTAAACATACTTTGACACTGATTTGGAGGTTTCTATAATATTGATATGTTACCATGAAATAACGTTATAAATAATATTACAGCGAAATGTTCAATGTTTATTGAAGTAATGTCTTAGGCCGGAATCAGACTATTCTGATTGATTCGCATTGAAGAATGAGATTGAAGATTGAAAGATTAAAGTTTGACCAATCAGAAAAAGGAGTAAAAATTTTTTTGTCCTCATTGGTGAAATTTCAGTCTTTAATCTTTAATCTCAATTTTCAATGCATAGTCTGATTCCAGCCTTACAGACATTGCAATTTAATATTCGAGAATATTGATTTAACATTTTTTCAATATCATATAAACTTCCAAAAATATTAGATTTATAAATTATTTTCATAAAATGTACGATCTTTTCAAAGTCCATTTCATTTGCTTTCATCGCAGAACATACACTAGGACTTTTATCTTGAAACCCTTCGGTCATTTTCTAAAAATCAATTCACTAAAACACAGATGAAGAATAATGTTGCGCCTTTTATTCAATTCTATGTCATTTTTAAACACGAGAAAATTACTCCGCCACGTTCTCCTACAAGTGATATCGTATACTGTTCCTGGGTGAGCAACTTTAATATTAATTTGTTTAATATTGTTTCATAAATCTATTGTATAAATTACATGGTGATCGTGAAAAATAAGGAAATACAGATACTTTGGCAACGCCCATTAATATCTCTTTTTGACTCAGTTTTTTATTAGGAATAGCATTGTATGATTAGTTATTTCAGATACTGTAGCTAATAGTATTATATTTATATTTGCAAATATTGATTTAATTATATAACAATAGCAAATTGTGCTTAACAAATGTATAAATTATACTTACTGTAGTACAACGATATTGAACAATTCACAAAATTTGTAATTTCGAGCGAAAAAAGATGCGATATTGCGTTTGTAATAGATGTGATCCGTAAATCAGTGGTAAGCGGACACGCTATACGATAAAAATGCATAACTTAAATTGGCACTTTATATACTTATAAGATCTATCCCACATTCTTTATTTAAAAAGAGTAAGACGCATTCAGTCACGATTAAATATTATAACGGATGACAAAACGTTTTCTACTGTAAGATATATTTTAAATCGTATGTCTATCATGCGCATAATTAATAATTATAGGTCAAGCAGAATAAAACGTCATGTTAACGTCAAGCAGTTCCCGATAAAAAATTTTTTACATAGAAATATACATATATGAATATACAGGGAGAGTCATTTTAATCGATCACCCCAAATATTTCCGTTCCCTTGCATTTTACAAGAAAATGTTTCAGACAAAAGTTGTATGGTTTCGAGGGGGACATAAGATGGTGTCATTGGTTTGACCTATGAGGCTTGAAAGTCATGCTATGTGCCGGCATTAGCATTACCTAAGGTGTCCGGCTGACGGCTAAAATCTCTTGAATGTTGTTCAGAATCACGACCTGGATAACATTGGCCAAGATCAAGACTATTGGAGGTTGTACCTCTTATTTTCATTTTTACGCAGAAATAAATTTTTAGTGCAAAAATGAAAATAAGAGGAATAATCTCCAATGACCTTGATCTTGACAAATGTTATCCAGGTAATGATCCTGAACAACATTCGACAAATTTTAGCCGTCGGTCAGACACCTTGGGTAATGCTAATGCCGGCACATAGTATGACTTTCAAGTCTCATAACTCAAAAAGTATTTAATGAAAAAATATTTTATTATGTTTTGAAAAGCTCTCGAGGTAAGCTACAAGAATATGTAATAAAAATGGAGGGTTCCGCTTAAAAAATGTAATGTGACCCTCGTCTGACCTTGACAACGCCACTCAAGGTGGAACCAATGATACCATCTTATGTCCCCCTCGAAACCATATAACTTTTATCCGAAACATTTTCTTGTAAAATGCAAGGGAATGGAAATATTTGGGGTGATCGATTAAAATGACTCACCCTGTATATATGCATAAATATATATATAATATGTATATATATATGTATATATGCATATTGTATATGTATATTTCTATGTACAGAATGTCCTACAATTCGTGACCGAATTTTAATAACATTTTTTTTCCTCTCTTAAAAATAAAACAATAATCCTAATACCAAAAAATGTCGAGGCTATAATAATTTTAAATTAATTGCGGTTAAATTTAATTACCCAAACAACACAAATGACTGTTTGTCGGCTTATAATCGACTTTTTTCCAGTCGGCATATAGTCGACTGTTGAAAACTTAGAGTATATCCACACAAACTTGCATAGTTGTATAAACATATACATAAAGAAAATTATCCAATTACATTTCTCTTTTAAAAGTTGCACATAAAATGTGATTGGATAATTTTCTTTATGCATACGTTTATGCGGCTATGCAAGTTTGTGTGGATATACCCTTAAAGTCGACTGTTCCCAGTTGACGTACAGTAAATCGACATTCTAAGTCGACAGTCGACTTAGAATGTTGACTATTGGTCGACTTTTTTTTAGACATTCGTCAAGTATTAGTCCGACTATTAGTCGACATTTGGTCAACTTATAGTCGACTTTTAGTCGACTTCGTGTTGTTTGGATAATCACAAAGCTGACATTTCACGCGCTCAGGAACGGTACATCATACAAGAGGATGATGTTCGTACGCCTAGGTTCACCCCATGCGAAATTGAAGTAATAACGTGTACAATAATGTTGAAATACTTCACTAATCATGTTTAAACATAGAAAATAATTATATATGCAACGTACATAACATAAAGATATTACGGAATATTAAAACTAATAAATATGTATAACAAATTATTTTAAATATGTATAACGAATTAAATTTAAAATTATTATAGCATCAGAACATTTGGTATTAGGATTTTTATCTTATTTTTAAGTCAGGAATACGTTATTAAAATTTCGATTACGAATTGTGAGACATCCTGTACATGTAAAATTATGTACGATAAAAATTAGTGCTCAGAAACATCAGACCATTTGACAGTTCGGACAGTTCGAATCTCAAGTTTGAATGTTAAATAGTTCGGACTGAATGTATGTCCGAACTATTTTAACCCACTTCAGAGCTGAAAGTTCGAATTTATTACATTTCGAACTCATCAGTTGTCCTCAGGATCAACCTCCCCGTCTTAGGGCATATCCACACAAATTTGCATAGCCGCATAAACGTATGCATAAAGAAAATTATCCAATCACATTTTACGTACGTCTTTATAGGAGAATATTGGATAATTTTCTTTATGCATCGTGTATGCAGCTATGCAACTTTGTGTGGATATATACCCTTAAGGGCTTCACACATGAAATGCATAACAGAGCATAAGGATAACATAAGACTGCTGGACCAATGAGCATCTAGCATAATGTCGCCATATTGATTTACATAAGATGCTCATTGGTTTAGCGGCCTTATGTTATGCTTATGCTCTGTTATGCATTTCATGTGTGAACCCTTTAAGGGTTTGCATAACGAGCGCAGTTAGTCCGATATAATAAAGTCGATATAATAAGGAAACAACGATAGCGAAGAATATTACTAAGGCCTCGGTGGTCTAATAGCTTAGGACGCTCATACGGAATACAAGAGATCCGGGTTCAAGT